CCATGCTGGCTGGGGAATTCTGGGAGTTGAAGTCCACTCATCTTAAAGTGGCCAAGTTCGGACAACACTGCTTTAAGTGGTGCACCAGAGCTGCATGATGTGAACCTGGACAAAAACTAAACTTGATTTAATTTCATTTATTTTTCATTAAAATTAAATACAATTAATGATTACTCTCCAGTCATGAGTTTAATAATTCTCCATATCTGTAATATTTTGATCTTCAAGGCCATGGGGCAACCGTTGGAGTCTCAGGTTGTGCATCTATAATCTAGGCTGCCCCCACATTGAAAGTTCTGCCACTAATATTACGTTTATTCAAGTGAAGCTTGTTATATGAAGTGGTTCTGTTTGCATACCAGTATTTACACGTAGAGATCTTTCTGCGAAGGATGGTTCTGCCCTCCTTTTTAGGATCCTTCTTTGTGCATATGAGCCACTTCTCCTGTGAATCAAGTACAACAATCACAGGCCCACAGTTAACATGGCCCTGTAGCCTCCTTTTCATATTCCTTGAATTTGTGGAGGGGTTTCTGAATGTCTCTTATATTAATGACTTTTTGGAAGAAAATAACTGGGAACTTAATCAGAGACCCTACTGCCCCGGGTTTTTAAAAGCTGCACACAAGTCAAAATAATAAAGTGAAGCTTTCCCCATCATTACAAGGGATAATGTCACAACAATAACAACAACGAAACTTTAGTACAGTAATAAATACTCAAAATTACAGAGAGAAATGTTTTATCCTCTTGATGTACGCAGTATACCCAAAATAGCAATATATCCAAATTAGTTGTCCTATCCCATAATGGTGATCTGATGGTGTAACTTTGCAGTTAGATAGCAGGATTGCGCTGCTGGATAGGTAATTTTGAGATCTCTGTTCACCATAAAAGTAACCTATATAACCTATGTTTTGGTTTAGCCAGGTAACTTTTTAAAAGCATTTGTAGTGGTCTTTATATCATGTTGGAATACCATATACAACACAGAAAACATGTCCCATTGATTCCGATTCACTCCCTCCATGCCTGATCGGGAGAGGAGTTCACAGAGACTCCCTCAGGGGCAGGAATGCTGCAAATGATGATCAGATGATTACTGACAGCATTCAGTTATCCAATTGCTAACTTCTTAACTGTTCCTGCTCTGTTTACCTGCCTCCAAAATGTTACTGCTATTGTCTTTTTATTAAAAGTCCTTTAGAATAGATGTGTGTGCGTGCGTGCTATGCTTTATTAGTTAGATGAACCTCCGAAATTTGAATTCAGTCATTTGTATGCATCTGTTGAACTCTGAATGAAATTTAATCTTAATCACATGTATCATCGGAATGGATGCCACCCAAAACTGATTATAGGTATATTTACCGACAGTTGCTGACAAGGGCTGCTTGTGCTATTTGACCTATTGATAATCTATACGGTGAAGTAAATGAATAAACTATTGAAAGCTCATTTAAAATTATAAGGAAAATGAAGTCATGAGGAAAAATTGGGCAGTTTGATCATTGCTAACATTCACAAAGTCCCTCTCCTACTTCCCGAATTAGCACTGGAATTAGTACAGAGTGTTAGCTGGAAGAGGACATGAAAGTTATCCCACCCTCTAAACGAAATGCCACCGTTCTCTTTGGCCAAGTCTGCTTTGAGCAGATCCATTTCTTGCATGAGGAACAGGGAGAATATCTTTTTTTTCTCTTGGGTTTGCTCTGTGTCATCAGTGCAATATATAGAATGCAGAAAGATAAATTGAACTTTGAGGAAGAAACAACAGAGGAAGAGTAGGATTGTTTGTATTTGTATTCGGATTAATTTATATTGGCTGCATTCATACAAAACACCAAACATTAAATCAATCATACTGGCTGAGCGAGCTTATCACATCAAGTTGTGAACCAGCCAACCATATTTTAACCTAACGCTTGTGTGAATCCAAGGCAGTGGCTGAGTTCACATGACATGTTCAGCCATGGTTAACCATGTTTACTCAGCTAAGCCATTTTCTGGATTTGCACCGCTCATAGAGTCATAAACTAACTATCCATACCTGCTGGATTTGCCCAACATTTTGGACTAAAATGTGGTGACCAGCTTGTGATTCAGACTGATGAGCAAACACGGCTAGTATCAGGACAAGAAACTTTAAACTTCTTGATGCGGCTGCTCTTTATGATACATTGCAAAATGTCATGTAGACCCAGAATATACCTAACCATTAAACTAGGGTTAAAGGAATTGTGGGCAAGTGCGTTGTGCAACAAAACCACTCTGGCGTGGGACGCAGATGCAGGTAGGGCTGGAGAAGGAACAATCTGCTTAGTTTCCTGCTGTGTGGAAGTCACCTACCATTTCCCAGGTTCTTTAGCTGCTGTGCTTCCCTGCTGGCCCAAAGCACGTGTGACTTTTTGATTTGACAACATAAAATCACAGAAGTTGCAAAATGAAAGCAAACAAATGTGGGCAGGGCTGGAAAAATCCATATCCTTTTCTTTCAGTATTGTTTTTATATTGAGAATCCCTTGCAAAATACAGAGAAAATGCCTGACTTACATGAAGAACATGGATTTATTCTGACTTCACCTGTGTTACTGGAAAGGACCCATTAGCAATTGAATATTTATACTGCTGAAATTAAAGTCAGTTAACTTGAGCTTCTGAGCTCACTAGATGTTTGGATCCACTATTAACACCTTTCTTTAAAAAAGGATTGGGGCATTTCAGCTTCTTAACATAATGTAGATCTATTTCTGGTCTTTATCGCTTCAGCTGAAAACAACTCATCAGTATTCGTTCAATCCTGCAGAGTATAGAGCAGACAGAATGCATGAGAAAAGAAATAATACAGTGGGAGCTACCTTATTTTTTTCCTTCTGTTTGAAGGTGATCACAATTCAGTCCCATATTATGGCCTATCTACTCCAAATCCCCTTTCCCTTCTTTATAAAGACTATTTTATAAGCAGCTACAGGCACTTTGCAGCCACAGGCTTCAAGATCATTTACCCAATTCGTGCCAGCAAGATGTTATTTGAAAGCTGTTCATATAAAAATAATAAATCACTTGATTTTCAATTGAGCAAAAATGTTTCCCAGACCTTGTAATAGAGAATCAAATGTTTCCCTAAGTTCATAGAGCTAGTCCCTGAGAGTGTTGAATTTTGAAGCAGGCAGGGATAAAATTTATTGCTGGAAAGTTTTGTGCAAACAGCTGATCAGAACAATAATTGTGGGTGATCTCTTTGGGTTTCTTTGCGTCATTTCTGCAGATGTCAACTCTTATGACATCTGTAAATGATAGGCAGGGTGAGTAGACAGACAAGGAAATAGGTGACTAGTGAAGGCCGTGTAAGAATATTTACATCAGTTTATTTTATAGCTTCATTGAAATTTTATGGTAATAGCATTGGAGAGAAAATGGTCAGCACAAATGTCTATGTGGCAAGGTACTAAGCAAACACAGGTTTTGATAGCAGTAGGTAGCCTATTTCAGTGCTGACTTAATGCTTCTGTTTCCTAACTATGCTCAGAGATTAAAAGCAGATAAAGGGCTCAGATGGTCCTTTCTCTTCTTTCTGAATGAATTTCTGTTTTCTTTTCTGCTCCACTCTAAGAAAGATGTAGATTTACATCCACATTGGACTCAATCCCAAATCCCCTACTGTTTGGGGGAGCATTTACGTTAGCATGGCAATACCAAGAGGAAGGAGAAGAAACAGCTGATTTTTTTCAGCTTTGTATGAACACTATGATATAGGAATAAACTAATGAGGAAGCTATTGAGTCCATGTGTCTTATCTGAGTGAATTATAGGAAGTAAGGTCTCTCTCTGGATTCCCAGGTAGATTGTAAGTAGGGGTCCCAGATCGCTCCGAGTGTGATCCAACCTTCATTCTTTAGAATTGTCGTGACAGAAAACATATCTTGGATTAATAAGGGTAGAAAGAAGTTTATTCAAGTGCTTATGGACCTCGGCTTTGTGATGGTTTCATAGCTTTCATTCCTGGCTATTGTATATAGCTTCCTTTTCACAAGATTATATGGCATTCTGGCTCCATCTGTAATGTAGGTAGGTATGTGTAATGGTATGTAAGAAAGACCATGAGAAATGAGCCAAAGAGATGCTGCCTAGGAACAGTCAGATAAGAGCGGGCATAGTCTGCAGCTCCATAATGGGTGTAGAAAGAGGCTCAGAAGGGACCCTCCCTAACTTCTCAGGCTGTAAAGGAGACAGGGGGAAATTTATACTTTCAGACTTGCAAGATTCTGTTAATGTAGCCTTACAGTAAAAGTAGAATTAGCTCATCTAGTCGTGTTTCCAGTCTGGTCTACCTGGAAGGCTGACAGTATGAGACTCCCTAGAAGCTCAAATTGGGGACCCATTAAGGGGTCAGGGCCTTGCAAATTGGTCACAGTATCCTAAGCTCCGATACTCTGGATGTTGCTAAGAACACTGAGACAATAGCATATCTTTATATACTGTTATCAATAAAGTTGGGAGCATATTTATTTCTAATATGACCTGGGTGTATTCAGATTTATATTACTCCCTGTATCCTCTCCCACCTCTTATTGCAAAGACTGTGAAGGCAGAGATTTGCATAAGAGGAGTTCATCTAATTAGAAGAGATAGGAAATGTTTCCTAGGCACCCCAGGTTACCTATACTGAAAGCCCTTTGAACATGAACATTGCTCAATTTCTTTTTGCATTTTCAGGTTACATTCAAGCTTGCAGAGGACTCATGATTGCTGCTGTCTGCCTTGGGTTTTTTGGCTCTGTATTTGCACTGATTGGGATGAAGTGTACAAAAGTTGGAGGCTCAGACCAAACTAAAGCTAAAATTGCTTGTTTTGCTGGCCTGATTTTTATTCTTTCAGGTAAATATGAAATGATCAAAGCTAATGGAGTGTGATTTTTCCAGGCACATCAAATTGAATGGGAAAATTGCTGTTGATTTCATTATTTTCTAGAATCTGATTGATGTGTATTGAAGCATTTCCAGATATTGATGTTCTTCACACCATGCATTTTTTAGGACTGAGCGCATTGACTGGTTGCTCCCTCTATGCCCACCGAATCACATCTGAGTTCTTTGACCCCACATTTATTGCACAAAAGTAAGTCCAGTTGAAAAAAACACTGAGATAGGAGGTAGGAGATGCTTTGCTTGCTGTTTTTTCCTATCTGCCTGGTTTAGAGGAACCAAAGCTAACTTACCTGCCCTAAATACAATTTAATCTGTCTGTATGAAGTAAAAGGATAACTGCTGCCTTTTAATTCCATTAGTATTTCAGTGATGTTAGGATGGTAGATTACAAGATCCATAGCCTTGATCTGTGGGTCCTCCACTCTGTGTTAGACAGAAGCCTTGAAAAATATATTTTGGTACAATGTATCTTCAGCAAAATAAAATAACAAAAATTAAAATAACTTCTGTTCTGCTTCTGAATTTAAACCAACTAACAGTTGATTAGTACTCATATTCTAGGACCATTTTCATCTTTCTAGTTATTGCAACCAACACTGCAACATTTACAACAAATCTAATTTTGCACAAAGCCAAGTTGTGCATAATATCTTTACTAGAACTGCTCTCTTTTTGACCAAGCAAGGGATAAAGGATTGTTCCATTACAATTACAAATAGGTGATTGTTATTGCTAAATTATATGCAGCAAAGCACCAATATTTTCTATTGCTGGGGATTTATGGGCTTCTTCCTTATACTGTACAGGTAGTCCTTGACTTACAACCATTTATTTAATGACCGTTTGAAGTTACTACTGTGCTGAAAAAAGTGACTTATGACTGGTCCTCACACTCACAACCATCACAGCGTCTCCGCAGTCACACGATCAAAGTTTAGGAGTTCGGCAACCGGTATAGATTTATTTAGGATGCGGTGGCGCAGCGGCTTAATGACGCTGAAAGTTGCCAGCCAGAAATGGTTGACACTTCAGCGGTTCGAGCCCAGCGTTTGCGTAGCAGAGTGAGCTTCTGCTTCCTCCCCCAGTTCCTGTCAACCCAACAGTTCGAAAACTCACGTGAGTAGGTGAATGGGTACTAACACTCCGGTGGGAGGAAAAATGCTGGCAGCGCCTTGCAAAAAGGAGTCGGGAGCAGTTGCCAGAAGGGCGAAAACCGCACTCGCCCGAAAAAGGCGCGAAGCAACAGAAACCCCACCTCCTGCGCTCGCCAGCTGGGCTCTGCTCTAGGAAGG